CAAAATGTCTACATATGCTTTAAAAAGATAACTTGAAAGTTTTTAAATAAAAGGTAATATCAATATTAGTAATAGAAATAGCTAATATTCATTGAGCATTCATTATGTACTAAGCATTGTTCTAAGTATGTTAAATATGCTTATGTTTAAAATAAATATAAATAGTTACTATCCTCATTTCACAAATGAGGAAATAAAAGCACATAAAGGTACACAGTCAAGAAACAATGACATGAAAATGGAAATAATTAATGAAGTAGAAAAAAATTCTGACCTACAAAGTATTCTACAAAAAATTCTTCAGTTACAAAGCAAGAACATACTGTCCAAACTCCAGAATAAGAATGGCAATCTTGATCATTTTCCATAGTCTGCCAAAATAATTCTTATAAAACCATATCCACTTAGGAATACACTGTAACCAGAAATGAGAACACAAAATGTTCAAAAGGACTACAACTCTAAAGGATTTAAAAGATGAAAACTGAAGATTAATTTTGAGGATAATACATATTAGCTTCCTAAATCATGATCTTTTGCATAAGTACCAACAATATATCATGCTTTGGAAAAATTAGTCACTTAATAAGACAAAAAAAACCAAAAACTTTTTTTTACACCTTTTTTCTTTTTCTACAAAAGAAATTCAAGTTTGACTACCTCAAACTTTTATCAAGACTCAGCCTCCTTATTACTATTTTGGTGCCATGCCTCTACTACACCAGGGACAATCAAAAGAAGAGAACCTCACAATCCAACACGGCGGCGGGTGCAGAGAGATCAAGTCTCTGACCTCTTCAGCTGCGCGGGCATAGGGAGTCCTAAACTGTCTAAATGCTGTTTGCTCAGGATCACAAGGCAATGCTGAGCTGATGTGGATCTGGGGCGAACAGTCTGGGCCTCTCAGAACACTCACCGAGCCCGGATCGGCTGAATTCAAGCTCCCGTTCACCTGCGTCTTACAGACAAACCGCTGTAACTCAGCACTAAACGATCCTGCTAAAACAACTGGTTGGCCCTTCTGAAGCTGCGGAGGTTAATACCAACCGAGCCTTCATAGGCAGTGGCTACAGGATTGAGACGGGGCTTGGGGGAGCGARTCAGGACCCACCCATTGCATTGGTCACCCAGCAAAGGGAACGAACTGTCGCCATTTGCATGGGATACCACCATGGCAGAGAACTGACGTCACCAGAATGCAGCGGAGGAGATAACTTCATTGAAACTGGTGGCAGCAGGTGTGTAACCCCCTAGCCCTCCCTCTCCACACAGCAGGGAAACCTTAAGGGCCCCTCCCAGCTCTCCTGTAAGTGCCCCTCCCAGCTCTCCCGTGAGCACCATAGCCAGACCGAGGGAATCAGGCGTGGAACCCCCGGCGTGGAACCCCCAGCTACAGCTCCCACAAGTGCTGACAACTGAGGTCTCTTGCACCAGCTACTGGGGGCGTGGCTACCGGAGGGCAAGCAAAATTCGCTGAGGGTTCTCAGCCCCAAGCTCTACAAACTTAGGGTCTGAGGGAATGGCAAACAGGGAGAGTGTGCCCAGGCGTTCATGAAAACAGGGCTCCCGGGAGCAGCAGACCTGGTGTGTAGCCAGTATTGTGGTGAGCAACACCGGTGAGCGGGGCCTGGCTTGAGGAAAAGTGGGGAAGTGACTAGACACAAGAGAAGGCCCTAGGCACTCAGGATTGGAGACCCGCCCAGTCTGGGAGGAGGAGCTGCTGCACAGTGATTGGTTCCCATGTATTGAGAGGAGAAGCTTGGCCCGGTGGGCACAGCTCCACCTACTGGAAGAGAAGTTAATCAAACTCTGACTGCATTTATTAAATTTTTTTGTTCTTTTTTTTATTTTCATTTTTTTTAATTTTCTTATTTTTTTAATTTTAATTTTCATTTTTTAAATTTTTATTTTTTTATTTTCTATTTGTTTTTCTTTTGTCTTTTCATTTCTTTTCAATTTCCTTATTCCCCCTTCCTTGAATTCTACCTGCTKACTCTCATTCTCTTTAGTGACTTCTTCCCTTCCCTTCTAATACCTTTCCTCCCAAGCATCAAATAAATTTATAGGAGTAAACAGTAACTCAGCAGTCAAACAGAACAAGAAGTAACATGAGGAGCATGAAAAAGCAAGGAAGAAAAGGAGTACAAACAATGCAGGACAGCCTAAATATTCAGGAGGACCTAGAGTCTTCAGAAAAATGGTCAAATAAAGAACTCAAGGAATACCATAGACAGATGGAATGGAACCTTAAAGAGGATATGAGACACCAAATTCAAACAGTGAAACAACACATTGAAAATGAATTACATAAACAGATAAAAGAAGCACATAAGCATCTTTATCAAGAGATAAAGATTATAAAAAAAATCAAACAATAATTCTAGAAATGAAGGAAACTATAAACCAAATTAAAAACTCAAATGAGAGTATCACTAACAGAATGGAGCAAGTAGAAGCCAGAAAGTCAGATAATGAAGACAAAATATATCATCTTGAAAAGAGTCTAGCCAACTCAGAAAGGCTGGTAAAAAACGTCCAAGAGATATGGAATAACATTAAAAAAACAAACTTAAGAGTCATCGGGATAGAGAAAGGTATAGAAGTTCAAACCAAGGGAATGAGCAACCTGCTGAATGCAATAATTATAGAAAACTTTCCAGAAATAAAAAAGGAAACGGATATACAAATTGTAGATGCACACAGGACACCGAGCATACAAAATCACAGTAGATCAACGCCAAGACACATTGTTATGAAGATATCCAATATACAGAACAAAGAGAAAATATTAAAAGTTACAAGAGAAAGGAGGCAGATTACATTCAGGGGTAAACCAATAAGGTTAACAACGGATTTTTCATCACAGATGCTGAAAGCGAGAAGATCCTGGAACAACATATTTCAAACACTGAAAGACAATGGATGCCAACCAAGAATTTTGTATCCAGTAAAATTAAGCTTCAGGTATGACAACGAAATAAAAATCTTTCATGATACATTGCTGGTGGGACTGCAAATTGGTGTGGCCAATTTGGAAAGCAGTATGGAGATTCCCGGGAAAGCTGGGAATGGAACCACCATTTGACCCAGCTATTGCCCTTGTCGGATTATTTCCTGAAGCCCTTAAAAGAGCGTACTACAGGGATACTGCCACATCGATGTTCATAGCAGCACAATTCACAATAGCTAGACTGTGGAAACAACCCAGATGCCCTTCAATAGATGCATGGATAAAAAAAAAAAAAATGTGGCATTTATACACAATGGAATATTACGCAGCACTAAAAAATGACAAAATTATGGAATTTGAAGGGAAATGGGTGGCATTAGAGCAGATTATGCTATGTAAAGCTAGCCAATCCCTAAAAAACAAATGCCAAATGTCTTCTTTGATATAATGAGAGCAACTAAGAACAGAGCAGGGAGGAAGACCAGGAGGAAAAGATTAACATTAAACAGAGACATGAGGTGGGAGGGAAAGGGAGAGAAAGGGAAATTGCATGGAAATGGAAGGAAACCTCATTGTTATACAAAATTACATATAAGAGGTTGTGAGGGGAATGGGAAAAAAAACAAGGAGAGAAATGAATTACAGTAGATGGGGTAGAGAGAGAAGATGGGAGGGAAGGGGAGCGGGGTAGTAGAGGTTAGGAAAGGTAGCAGAATACAACAGTTACTAATATGGCATTATGTAAAAATGTGGATGTGTAACCGATGTGATTCTGCAATCTGTATTTGGGGTAAAAATGGGAGTTCATAACCCACTTGAATCTAATGTATGAAATATGATATGTCAAGAGCTTTGTAATGTTTTGAACAACCAATAAAAATAAATAAAAAAAGAGAACCTCACAAGTTCAACAAGTTTTATTAAATCCCATCAATCAAAAGACAAATTTCAAGCTCCCTTGGAGGTACTATACTATGCCCTGAACAACACAGTATACAATAAGTAGTTCTAAAATGGCTCAATCTTCTCCAGGTAAAATATGTGTGTTGGAAGATATTTTAACATTTTTTGGTGAAACCATTTCTTTTTCTTTGACCACACGATCTTTTTGTTAGATTCGGTATCAACGAAAAATAAAATAGAAAAACACTATAATTACTTAGATCAGTTTATGTAGCTACTGGTAAAATTCAAGGTAACACAAAAACTTTTGAGGATATTCCTTCTGTAAAACAAGGATGTTCTTAGCATACTATAATTCTTACAGCTTTCTTTGTGATACCTGAGATAAAAATCAAAGATTTTTTTTTCCTTTTACATAACCAATAAGTTTGAATTAGGGGTAGGAGAAAATTAGTTCCATTAAATTGAGATGGGGTGCTGCTTCAGTAGTAATGTTATGAATTCACTGAAGAATTAAGAAAGAAAGAACAAAAATAATATCAAGCTAAACACACACAACAAAAATTTCCCTCTATTTAATTCACAACTAAAACAATTGCTCCCAACTGATTCAACTCTTTAAAATACCTCACCGCTGTCACACACAATTTAAAAACTATACACAGAACTTCTTGGAAGACATCAACAATTAAAAGTTAATCTTTTATGTAATAAAAAGACCTTCTTAGTATACAAAGCATAAAAGTACAAAAATTCAGACCAAAATATTCCCTAATATTAACCAAGATTTTTAAAGTATAACTTATACTTGCTGAATGTAAATTTAGCAAAGGTGACCCAAACTCAAAAAGTTGTTTCTTCAACATCTTAGAAGGCAGTTTGATGCACCACATTCCTCCATCTACTTTGTGTTGTATGTTCATATCTCAAATGGAAATTAAACCCTTTTCAAGTAATGGCCAAAATTTCATTAATCACAAGAGAATACAGAACAAAGAGCCACATGACATGAGAAACAGAGCTGACAGAAAGATAGGTGGAACAGCATTGGTAATGACCGTAGAAAAGCAATCAGGAGTATATGTTGAAACAGAAAATCTATAAAACTTGTATAGGAATCACATTAGATAATTCCATTCCCACTCACCTGATGAACTCTCAGTAAATACTGTTAAGGTCTGTCCTCCAACACTTTGCAAGACAAATGGATGTTCTCTAGGAGCACTGACTGAAGCTGGTTTTCCACCAATATCATGAATATTTGCAAGATCCTCATTCAAAGTAAATGACACCTAATAGACACGTTAACCAGAACTTATTACAATAGACATTTATATTCAAAGTACTTTACAAAACTTTTGATTATAAATCAAACACTTTTTTTAAAATGTCTTTTTCTAGTCATTTTATTAAACATTTTTTTAAACTCATCAAAAAAAATCTCTAATACTTAGTCATAAAAGAGAATCTATTCCCAGGTGTCAGAATGATGGGGCTCATCTCTCATTGCAAAGAAAGACAACTTTTAAATATTCTAYGGTCTATAACTGAAGAACCTTTTTCAAAATAGGAATAAAATTACTTTTTCCTAAGATCTCTGAGGTCCGATTATATCTTATTGCCTTTATATCCTTAAGAACTAACAAAGGACCCGACACAAAAAAGAAAACAATATTTGCTGAATGATTATTTCAAGAATACTAAGAAATCAAAGGTACTTGAAAGGGGGAAAATGTGAGCTATTTACTCTGAAAAGCTTAAACATTCTCATCAACAGTGGTTATATTCTTTTTCAATCTTAATGACCACTGCATGAGTACACAGTACTGCTTTATTTTTGAATATTTTAACAAAACAACTAAATATTTACAAGAGTAACTCAATAACAGGGTGTAGAATTAAAAGAGGGAAGGTGTACTTTCCAAATTATTTTATTATATGTGAGATCCTCTCAAAAGAGCATCAAATTTTGCATTAAAGAGATTTATAAACAATACTGATCTCCCAATAGCATAAGGAAATCATGAAACATATTATTAAATATATTCTACGGTACCATAGGTACTGTACATGAAGTAAACCCAAGGGGTCAAAAATCTAAAGCCCTCAAAAATTTGAGTCAAATGCCTTTGCCATATTGAAATAATGCTAAAACATTACTGAGTCTCTTCAGTTTAACAGTACTGAGAAAGGGATATTTAAGTCAAACAAGAAAAATGTTGACAACAAACAACTGGAGGAGTCCATTCATTCACACAGGGGTAGCATTTCTAACTTTATATGTTCCTGGTCACCAGCATTCATTTGATTTGATGTGAAGGTTTTTCACAAAGCTAACAGCACCCTCTCTTTACTAATGAAGAGTAAAATACTTCCATGCTTTAAATTTTTTTCATATAATTAATCTTACCTCAGTCCTTCCTTGATTCCTAAAAGAGAAGAAAAAAATATTTTAAATTATTTAGATTTCATACTGTTTTCAAATATGAGTTAAGAGCTAAAAGAAATAATGCTACTTAATATTTACGTAAAATATTAAATTTATAAAGACTAATGTTTACCCTTGGCTTCCCCCAACTATTTATAATCCTATAGGAAAAAACAAAGTTACATTGATCCTACATGATTATTTTAGATATTATGAACTTATATCACATAACACTATTATTACCTGTCCTAATTACATTTTGTCTTAATAAAGATCCTATGATTCTTATCTTTATTTCTGAACATTTTCAGTTTCAGCAGCATGTGAATGTATATTTAATACCTGATCTAAATAATATTTCATCAAATTTTACTATTTACTTCGTCTATGTGAAAAGGTTTCACTTACCTAAAGTCTTAATGATCAAAAGTTATTAAATTTAACCATATATTAAAATCATAAGAAATTTTCTCCATTATAAAAAAATATGGCTATTATAAACACTTTTTTACTACAAACAAACCAAAAAAATGTTTTGAAATAGCCATAATTTCACTGCTACATCTTAATACAGGTAAAAATCCTTCTACACTATTTCACACATATTTGAATTACCCATTTAAAATTTTTTACAAATATGGAATTAATGTGCCTCCTATATAAATAACATAACTTTTTAAAAAATATGTATTTATATGTATTTACTTACTACATGCAAAGTACTGAGGGGAAGGTCTCTGCCCCTGCCAGCAAAATACATAAATTTTAATGTTCCCTTAAGAGAGCCATGCTATATGTGCTAGGATCAGATGGGAGAATACAATTTCTTCCATTTTAAGACTTAAGGGATGGCTCAACAAAGAGGCAGATCTGAGCTGATCCTTGAAACACTAAGACTGCAATAAATGGAGATGGGAAAATACTGTTTCAGAAGTGAATAGCTCAGCCAAGTCACAGAAAGGTCTCGTCACAAATAAGTAATCAGATTTGGCTGGTAAAGAGGCAATATAAAGAATGGTGGGTCTGGGGGAATAACTCAGTGGTATAGCACATTGTTTCCCCCATGCACGAGAGACTGGGGTCAATCTTTAACACATACATACACAAAAAGAAAAAATGAGAGGCATAGTGAGAGATGAACAGAAGTTAAATCATGGAATATCTTAAATATCACAGTCCAAAGCCAGAACTTAATTCTTTGGGCAATGAAGATCCACAGACACTGTTCAAACAAATGAATAAAGGTCAAAAATACTCCAGAAAATTTGCACCAGAAAACGTGTAGGATAGACTAAAGGTGACTAGAGATATGAAGACCAGTTTCTCCACTCAGCTTAATTCCAATCTGCCTTTATTCAGTCGCTTAATCATTCATTCTGTCATTACAAGTCTACTATACAATCCTAGGCATTGTTGTAGAAGCCTGGTATAGTATGACTATAGGACCTTGTCCTCAGGAAGTTCCAGTCTAATAAAAATAGTCAGGTCCGATCCAAAAACAACTACAAATAAGGCAGTTCATATCTTGTCAAAATGATAAAGCATTATGGCAGAAATAAAACACCCTGTCAAGGAAATGCAGACTAGAAAGCCAAGAAAAGTTGAATCTGAGTGCAGGGTGAGATCAACACCATGGGAGCATTCCAGGCTACAGGAACAGCCCACAAGAGCAAGGAAACATCTGAAATGACAAAGTAACACATTCTTTCTGGCACCAGAATGGAAGCCTGGGTTCAAGCAGTCAAATCTTTTAGACCAGACTAAGCAGTCCAGTTTCTTACACAGATTTGTTTAGTATAGGTTTCTCAGTCTTTTATTGCATATTAAAAGGCAGTGTTCATCTTCTCTTAGTTGAGAAAGTATCTAGAATAGAGATGAGAAGATACTAAGATTTCACATAAAAATGTGAATTTCCAGCTTCTCTTACAAGACTGCAAGATTTGACAACCGGCCCCCAATTCCACTTGACAACAATCCTCTAGACATGTGTTTGAGAAAGGCACTAACTCCACCAGTCTCTTCCATGTCACTCCTGAATTTGGCTTCTAGAGGCATTTAATTTAGTTGCCTTTAAAAACAGAAATGCTGAGTACAAAAGGTGCTCTCAAAATGTTTACTGAATATGGAAGCAAATACAAAAATCTACATTAAAAGGAATGAAGGCTTGAATTAGGTAGCTATAAAATGCAATAAAGTTCATGATGGGTCATTAAACTTTTAGAACAGCTTACAAAACTGACAGAAGAGGAAATGACTGGAAGTGGGCAGCAAAGGAAAAAGGATGAATTAAAGATCATGTTGACATTTCCAATCTGGATAACTAGAAAATCATCCAGATGCAATTAGGGAACACAGGAGGGGAGAATAACTTCATCTTTACATATGTAATTATAACCTAGCTAGAATGACAAAGAGATTGATGAGCTCTGGATGAGTTAAATTTCTAGGGGAAAGTTAATACTTTAAGACTTAAAACTTATTTGAAAAGGAAGATACATATCCCCCTTGCTCTCATGCATACATGTACAAAACTACACACAATCTTTTGTTGTTCTACATTATAAATATAATACACCCTGTGCACCATGGCCTGTGGTCTAACTGACAAACATCAACTATTATAACATTTCCCCTTTCGCTATTCTTAGTTCATCTGTCAACACTCAATAGCTACTTCTTTGGATTCCAGTCTCATACCTCTTTCTTTTTAAAAAATTATTAAAAGTCATGTCTTTCTTTTTTCTTACACTTTTAAGCACTTCTTGGATCTAACACCAATGGAGTCATGAGGTTTTTTTGTTTTTTTTTTTACTATCACTGATAATAAAGCATCATCCCTTCTCAGTTAAGAAAACCAACCAAGGTTGAGAATGTAGCTCAGTGGTACAGAACTTGCCTACTATGTGTGAAGCCCTGGGGTTTCATCCTCAGTACCACAAAAAAAAAAAAAAAGAAAAGAAAAAGAAAACCAACCATACAACATCAAGTTTTCAATTTGCTTAAGGATTTTTGTTGTTTGTTTTGTTTTTAATCCTTATTAATACCTCTGCTTCCAATTTAGGTAAAAAACCATTAGGTGAAATCAAGCAAGTATCTGCAAAGAAGGTTGGGCAATAGTCAACAGCACAAGCTGGGTAAAGAGTAGTCCCTGGATTGAGGAAACAGCCTGAGGCAAGGTACCAAAGCCAAGATGGATAAGGAGTGGCTCTTCTGAGCCTAATAAGTGCTGAAGTAGGCTGCTAGATGCCTAGCAGCCTAGGAAAGCATTCCTATGTAGGAGATGGAATGGAAGCCTGAGTGAGTGAGGCGGGCAGCAAAGGTGGGAGCCAAATCAGGGAGCTTCAGCCCAAGCAAAGTTTGCATGCTTTCATTTTTTCCCATTACTGGCGGTGTTAACTTTGATCATGCTATGCTTCACTGTAAATTTATTTATTCTTTTCATCTTTGTAATTATTGCATATTACAATAATATGCATCCCACATGAGGTGAGACAGGCAGGGACTACACAAATAAGAACAGAAGCCTAAACAAACAAGTAAATATATTAAAGATAACTAGAACCAGGGTTTTCACTTTTAGAAAAGGGAGACAAACAAGAAAAGGGAAAAAAACTGGAACATATCCTATAGTTTTGGATAGGAACCAGATAATGGTATGAAGTCACGATTTTCAATATATGTAGATATATAGATGTAAAGGTGTGTGTGTGTGTGTGTGTGTGTGTGTGTGTGAGCGCGCATGAATGTGCGCACGGGTATATACATGCATGTTGCTCACAGAGAGGCCTGAGAACACAATGAACACCTGGGATATCCAGATCTTGGTTTCTAAATCATTCTCTTCTAAAAGGAACTGGGGCTTCTTATAGAAATGGCTGATCCAGAGACCAAACCAGTAAAAGATGAATCTAAAACATCTCTCTATGTCAAAAAGTAAGAAGTGTTCAAAGAATAATGAGGACATGCCAAAAGGTCACAAGACTTATACTACTGAGGCAAGAAGATCTCAAGTTCAAAGCCAGCCTGGGCAACTTCACAAGACTCTGTTTCAAAATAAAAAATAAGAATGGCTGGGGATAGGATAAGAATGGGATAAGAATGGCTCAGAGGTAGAGCACTTGACTAGTATGTGTAAGACTCTGGGTTCAATTCCCAGTACCGTAAAAAATTTAAATTAAATTAAAAATAGAAATAAAGGGACATGGAAGTCATCTAGAAGAAGTTTCCACTGGCTACATTTTGGACAATATGAACATCAGAATAAATGAAATGGCAAATTGTGACCCACTGAATAAAATCAGAATCCATGAGTTCATACTAAAATAATAAATAAGTTGAAAATTTTGTAATATTTATAGTACCACCCCACAGAATATGCAATAATTACAAAGATGAAAAGAATAAATAAATTTACAGTGAAGCATAGCATGATCAAAGTTAACACCGCCAGTAATGGGAAAAAATGAAAGCATGCAAACTTTGCTAGAATACAAGAACCCAGTTTCACCTTTGTTTTTTTTTTTTTTTTTTTTAAGAGAGAGAGACAGAGAGAGAGAGAGAATTTTAATATTTTTTTTTTTTTTAGTTTTCGGCGGACACAACATCTTTGTATGTGATGCTGAGGATCGAACCCGGGCCGCACGCATGCCAGGTGAGCATGCTACCGCTTGAGCCACATCCCCAGCCCTCACCTTTGTTATAATCCTGCCAAGGACACATAACTCAAATCTAATCACAAAGATACATAAGACAAGCTGAAATTTTATAAAATAACTGCCTTGTAAATGACAACTGCATTGACACCTATAGATTGAAAAGTCAAGGAAAAACTTCAGAATGTTGTAGATTGAGTGAAGCAAAGTACAAACACATAGCAACAGAATGCAACCTGATTCTACCCTGGATCTTTTTGTTATAAAACAATATTAAGACAATTGGAAAACCTTGATTGAAGTCTAAGGATTCAGTAGTACTTTTTTATGTTAATTTACTGATTTGAAG